GACTTTAGGTTTGGAATGTTGTTAAGTTTAAGTAATATTTTATTATGTATAATATGTGAATTCATGTGAAGAGAGTCCTTCATGTTCTTTATCTCTCTATTCTCTCCTATATAGATTCTTTGGGTGTGTTATATATGAGTAGAGATTTTATCTATTATTTTTTAATATATTTTGGTATTAATATGGGATAAGTACAAGGCAATATCTATTAAAAGATAACTCTCAATCATTTGACATTGAACGCTCACACTCCTAGCATTCTTGGTGCTTAAACCCGAAACCTCAAGTGTAATGCCCTGAAACTGGGTCAGCAGTTTGGGTCAACCCGAGACCTTTAAGTCAACCCAATTAGACTTTCCAAGGTAGTTGGACCAAGTTATATAGGTATTGGGCTTAAGTAAGGCCCAAGAGTTAATGGTAAATGATGATTTTAAGTAAAGGTAAAAAGGAGGAGGACCAAAAATGTAGTTTACCCATAGTTGGGTTTAAAGGCTATAAACCCTCTTATTTAGCTAGATTTCATGGGAACCTTCCACCAAAAATATCTCCCATCTTTCTTCTTCTCCTTTCTTCTTCATTCCTAAGAGAAAACAAAAAGATAGAAGTTTCTTGAATACCAAACCTAGTTTGAAGAAACCAAGGTAAGAATCATATTCCTCATCCCTTAAGCTTCATTTCAAGCCCTTAATCTTTAATTTTGGGTAAGATTTTAGAAAATGAGTTTTTAGGAGTTGAGAGAAATCAAGTGTTTTAAGCTTGTTTTTGGGTAGATTTGAGTTGTGGGAGTTGTATTTAAGTAATCCATTTCCTTTATTGGTTTAGTTAAAGAGCTGAAAAAGAGTTTCAAAGAAAAGGATGAAGGTAAGGTAAATCCTAGTTGATTCAAGAGGAGTTTAGCAACCAAGAAGGCCAGGTAACACACTTTTAGCTTTCTCATACCAAGTGTAGATCATGGAAAGTTAAGATGTGTCAGAAAGGTAAGTTTAAAGCATGTTTAACAATTTCTATGGTAGATTGTTCATTTGATGTCATAAGCATGATATAAAGCCTTATTTATGCTCCTTGTATTCACATAAAACTTTAAGCATGTTTTGGGACCTCACTAAGGTCTTTGGGATTGAGAAATAGAGTTTTTCGTACTTGTTTTATGACTTCTACATGTAGAGTATCGATAGCGCAATTTCGTGAGTTTCTGGTCAAGAGTATAGATACTCTTTCAAGAGTATCGAAACTTTGGATCATAGTTTCAAAACTCCAAAAAAGTTTCGAAACTGGGCAGAACAAAATATTTAAAAGTATCAGTACTTATATAAAGTATCGAAACTTTTACAGGAGTATCGATACTCTTGGGCTAGTATCGATACTTTCAGTCTGTTTTAGGAAAAAATGACAGTTTTTAAGGGAATTATACTCGAGGTATCCCAAAAATTGTTTTTATCATCAAATAAGACTACAAATGAGAACAAAAAGAAAGTTTAATTCAAACGTAGAAATAAGAATAGAGTAAGATCAAATAATACTAGCCTTGTTTGAATGCTCGGGAAAACGACCAAGACACCAGAGTTCCTTTAGAAAAGATAGCAGAGTCAAAAATATAGATTCATTCCGAATATCCTTAGGGAGTGTGCAAGACACTTTAAGCTGACTAGTTTGTGCACAAAGTCCGACACTCAAAGAGTGGGCTAGTCAAGAGTGCAGTGTCCGATGCAGAGATTCCGGGGGCCACATTCTCGGTAGACTAGAAGGGTGTGTGAGCTCCGAGATGTAGAACCATCAGTCGCACCATGATGTCTACCATAGCGTAGAAAGTTAGTATACAAGTATACTCACTAAAGCAGTATAAAACAGACCAGTAGATCATATAGAACATTAATAGACTTGAATGTTCTAGCCTTTCAGCTAATTGCAGTTAGTATGTTTTAGTTGTTAGTGTTGCGCTGAGCTAGTTAGCTTAGCCTTTGGATGTTTCCGTAGGTAGGTTAGTAGATCCAACAGTTGAGAAGCTTTAGAGAGATCGAAGTCCATATCCGGTGCAGAGCAGAGTATGCCACAAGTTTCTTAAATGTCATGTATATTCATGAATTCATTTGTTTTGAGTTGTAAAGTCAGTTAAGAGTCAATATGTAGGTATATATATTTTTAGGGCTCTCAGATGTAAAGAGCCGTTTTAAAGTACAAGAAAGTAAGAATAAGTTGGTTAACCACTTCGGTGGTTTCGTGTAGCACTTTAAATCCGTCGACTGTGTGTCGTACTGGTCCAGGGTGTTACATCAAGGAACATCGACAATTCATTTACCATCGAGATCGTTTGATTCGTGCTTTTTAATATATTTAAATATATATTTGGTACTTGAATTAGACATTTTCTTTTAAATGAATATTTACAAAAGAATATATTCAAAAGCGTCAAAAAACGAATAAAAGTAAAGTTCATATATTAACTTGGAGGATTAAATTTGTATGCTAAATATATATGCTAATTTATTAATGTGTAGAATTTAGTACCAATTTAAGAAAAACGTGTTTAATTTATATGCTAAATATATATTTAAGCCTTTTCAATGCATCAAATATCATTATTAATGTGTATAATTCATATTAGTTATATTTGTAATTAATAATTAAATTTGTATAAAATAATAATGGAGGAATCCTTCCCTATTTCCCCAAACTTATTTTTTTTAAGAATTTTTATTTTATTTTATATGTTGTCTCCAAAAATTTAATGTTTCACCCTAATATATGTAAGCCCATGCATACATAGTGAGTATTAATGAATATATATATATATATAAGCATACCTATTTAAAAACAAGGGGAAAATCACATGGCCAATTCAACTAAAGTATATCATTATTGTTTATCATAATGTTTTTCCTCATATCTTATATGCTATATTTAAATAAAATAATTAAAAAATATTATATAAGAATCAAATAATTGATAATAAATTTATATTCAAATTTATTAATCATTCATCTATGATCATTCATTGAATTAATTTATATATATTTATAAAAAAAAATATTATGAGTATAGTAACGGAACAAAAGCTAGACTAGAGGGGGTCACGACTCCCAAAATTTTAAAAATTATAATTTAAAACCTTAATTTTTTTAAAGATATTTAATTTGCCTCCCCAAAATTTTTAAATTAAATTTTAAAATTTTAGAATGTTTTTAATTAAATCCCTCCCATAAATTTTAAAAATTCTTATTACGTCTCTAAAAATTTTAGTTAGACCCTAATTTTTTGAGAAAAATAAACTAAACCCTTCAAAAAATTTAAAAATCTTAATTTAAACTTCTAAAGTTTTTAGAGTTTTAAGTTAAGCTTTCTAAATCCTATCACCAAGTTTTTACCATCGATGAATATTATGAATAACGGAAAATAAACTACCACAAAACAATAAGAAAGAAAAACAAGAGCATGTAGATTAATATAAGGAAAACAATTAATAGAAGAATTTTATTAAGTCGGCTATAAATTACGATAGATAAATGAGTATATTTAGGGACTAATGCAAAATTTTATGATAGAAATACGAATTTTTTAAAAATTATATTAGACATCTAAGAATATAAAATTAAATTATCAATAAAAAAATATAAAATGTACCTAAACTATATGTAAATTTGAAATTTTTAGAAGTGTGATAGCGACTAACATTACATAAAACTCTGGATACACATATATAATTACACATACACAATAACCCTAATCGCATAAAATCGTATAATATCATATTGCACGACTTTATCTGGTATCTACTACAATTAAATTTAGATGTGATATAATTTAATAATTAATAATGTATTTATCCAAAGGAAGAGTTTTGCATCACTCCACTGTCATTGTTTAATCAAAATAATTTAGATGTCAAAATCAACTATTCTTTGATGAAGTGATCTTGTGTGATGTTAATAGGAGTAGGTAAGATAAGAAATTGCAAATTGCATAATGCTCGTTAAATCGGGGTAGTTCTGCTGTACGACAGTCTAATATAAGGTTAAGAAAATGTGTTATATGAAATATTATTATATATTTTTTTAAATATTTTTTGTAGAACGTTACCTAAAATGTTATTTTTTATATTAAAATTTTAATTTCGCTACCTAAAATGAATATTTCCGATATTAACCTTTTCGGTAAAAAAATCCCATTATGTGATAATGGGATTCTGCAAAAAAGTCATTACAAAATCAAATCAAAATTGATTTCATCTTCTTCCATTGCATTTTTTGTAATAATTAAAACTATAGTGGAAAGACGAAACCCTGTTTTCTATACGATGGGATGAAGCAAATTAATTATTTAAGAGCAACAAAGTAGTGGATGGGGTGAAGAGGAAATCGATGAAAATTTTCTCCTTTTTTTCTATATGTTTTCTTTTCTTAATATATATATATGGCTGTTAGTTGAGAATGAGTTTTTTCTTTTCAGTTTAAACAATCTAATCATATTTGGCTAATAGATATCGGATTTAAACACGACGTTCATAAGAGTGCTTGAACGTTTATTATCAAATGAGTAAATTTTTCGAATAAATACTACCTTATAATCATAAAAAAACTGATAAAAATAATATATTTAAATATGATTGTATAAATAATTATTCTCTCTCTCTATATAAAGCATGATCCGTTTATAACTTGTAATATAATTTTTAGGATTATTAGATGAATAAATACAGATGTTTGAGATATCTATACGAAATAAGAATATATTCACGAAAAAAATAAGAAGATAATCTCGTCTATTTGTACTCATTCAATATTATTAAAGAAAGAAGACATTTACTTGAAATCAAATTTAGAGACGATATTATTAGAAAGAACAAATACGAATCTCGAAATATGGATATATCAAATAAATTGTAATGTTGGAGAAGAAGAAAACATGTTGAAAATGGGAGAAAATAGGTAAGATGAACAACTTAGATCATTAAGAAGATATGGGGGAAATAATTTAAAAGAGTACTCTTTAAAATCATCTTCATTATTGAAAACATAAAGCAAAGGGAGATAAGTTTAATTAATATACAGGGAGATCACTTAGGTTTTTTTTTTTTTTTTGGTTTTGTTTCACAAATCTTTAAACAAAAAAACTCGACATTTTTGGAAGATCTAAGAAGATTGTCTCAATCTCTTACATAAGTAGATATGGTGTGGATTTATTAGTAAGGTGGTCGCTCATGTGCCCAAGCATAGGCCTCATGCCCTAGTTGTCCTCCATTGGAGACTAAATTATGAGGCATATTGTATATTGGAAGTGAAGAAGGATCAAGCAGACCTGACTGTGGGCTGCTGCCGCTACGGATTGTCGGCGGCGGTTGAGAAATGGTGGCTCCGTTGTGGATCTGATCACCCTGCCCGTCTCCGCTGACTGCTTCTTCGTCTTCTACTGGCAATCTTTCGTAAGTTGCGTTAGCGAACGTTGCTGCAATGACCATAACAGGACCGGCGGCGACGAGTGAACCAACGACGCTTCCGCCGACGACTTGTCCTTGACCACCGGCTAGGTACACGGAGAGTCCCGTTGAGCCAGGTGGTGCTGGTCCAGGCAGGAAAGCTCCGGTCAAAGACAAGATTTCGAACCTCCCTTGAAGAGCAACCACGGCTCCGGGTGCAGCCGGTTGTCGAAGCGTAACGTTCGCCACCGAGCCGCTTCCGCTGAGCACGCAGACACCTCGTTGTCGTCTCCGGGCGAATTGAGCTATGCTTTCCGCCACATCGGTGCCACTCGCAACTTCCATGACGTGACTACGCAGCGCGTTCGGGCTGTCCCTAGTGACGAAAATGGGTGGTTTGGGCTTGTTTTTCGAGCCCGGTGGTCGGCCTCTAGGTCTCCGGTTACCGATTTCGACAGCTCCCTCCTTCGGCTCATCTCCGGTATCTCTATCGTCGTCTTCGTCGTTGCTTATATTTTTTCCGGTATCGTTCGTCGAAATCCCCAGGTCACTTTTGTTCAAGCCCGCTGAAGAATTGCCTGCAGGCTCCATCCCTTGTAGATTATCTTGATTAATAGCCCACCAAGGATTCGCCATGGCACAACAAAATTGAACTCGAAGCTCAAGTAAACTCAAGACAACAAGAGAATATAAAGACAGGTTATGTAAGAGAAGAGAATTAGATGCAATTCGAAGAACATAAAAGAGAGAACCAGTCAATTCATCAAACAGAGAGAGAAAAGTAGAGAGAGAGAGAGAGAGAGAGAGAGAGAGAGAGAGTAAATTAAAGCACTAAAATAAACTATTACAAACAAGACTTAAAACAAAGCTTATTAGATCAGATGTTGTTTTCTTTCTCCCTAGGTAAACTGTGTGTTGTGTTTTGATTTGGGGGAGGTAATGGCTTTCTTGTGTTTACTAAACATTAATATAATAATGATCCATCCTTTCTCTCATATTTTTTACAATGCTACATGTTTTGTTTGGTCCAAACATATTCTACTTATAAAAAATTTTCGAGTTACTTGATTTGACGAGTCTTATTTTACAACTCGAAGTTGATTTGAAATTTTTTTGAGTCGAGTCGAATTTTCGAGTTTCTGTTTAAATTTAATTGTAAATATTTATAATATTATGATATTATTTTATTCCAATTTAAATGATTTTTATAACCATATAAAATACATATATATATTTTTCATATGTGATATACATATATCATACAAATTCGAGATACTCGACTCAAACTTAAAAATTAATCCACTAATTGCTAAAAGTTTCGAGTTATTCGAGTTATTATTCAAGTTGTATTATATAGCTCAGTTTGACCTTGAAATTTTTTCGATTCGAGTTTATGAAACAACTCGAAGTTAATTCGAGTAAAAAAACGATTTTTCGAGTTTATTCGAGTTTTACTCACCACTAATCAATTGAATTTTTAAGGTATATTTACAATAATCAATAATATACATATAAGTATAACTCGTTCAATAACTATTATTAAATCAATCATTTTAAATTCATTGAGTAACATCATAGATAAAAATTAAATATTATTCTTCTTAAAAGTCTTGAATTCAAATAGTTACGAGATATATATTATCAATAATTAAAAAACATATAATTTATAAAATTAAAAATGAGATAATATCACCAATTCAAAAAATAAATGAACGAGTTATATGTATATTATTGATTATTGTAAATATACCTTAAAAATTCAATTGATTAGGGGTGAGTAAAACTCGAATAAACTCGAAAAATCGTTTTTTTACTCGAATTAACTTCGAGTTGTTTCATAAACTTAAATTTTTATAACTTTTAATTTTTTAAATTTTGAAAAATGATAACCACTTATAAGAAACTCACATTTTTATAACTTTTAATTTTTTTTCTTCTAAAATTCATTAATTTTTTTGGGTATAATCGTCAATATTTAACTTATTAATTAATTAATTCAAATCGAATATTGTAAAATCGAGAGCGAAACATAATTCAAATTAAATTTTTAATAAATGAAATTATAAGATTTAATATATAAATTAATAAGAAATTATATAAATCCTTAACTGTGATAGGTTAATAAAAGTCATCTCCTCTTATAGGGATCTTTAGAAATTAGGGTTTCACGGGTAACGTGCGCAGCTGGGGAGCAAGTCGTCGTCTCGTGCCCCAATCCTTTTGTTTCTTTCTATTTTGCACATAATTGATTAAGGGTAAATTATCCCAATATCATTAAATTATATAATCGATTTTATTTTGATCATTGATCATTTTTTATTAATTAGATTATTGGACTTTCAATTTGCTTTCAAAATTCCTAAGTTTAATGAAATTAAAAATTTTAAAATCAAGGATAATATTTTTTTCGTGAAATTTTTTTTATTTCTTATTATTAATTTCAATCATCCATTTTCGCTCATTCAATAGTTCAAATAACTCATAAAATTTCAAAGTTTTACACTTTTTTAAATCGTTGAATGTATTAAAGTACTGGTTGATCAAGATAAAAAATAAAAACGAGAGAATCTTTACGAAAAAAAGCATATTATCCCCTAATTTAAAAGCATTGATCTCGACATCTAAACTCGACTAATATATTGATCTAAAAAACATGTAAACCTTTTAAAGTTTTATACTGTCTACGTGGATCATAACTCTATCTCTCTGCATGTTATGATCCACTTAGACGAGATAAAATTTAATGGTTTTATATATATTTTTAGATCATTGAATGAGTAAAAAACGGATAATTGAGATTAACAACATAAATAAAAAAAAGGTTAAAAAAATTATTTCAAGGATTGATAGAGAAAGAGCATCGAACCCTACTCATATGGATAATCAAATAAAATCAAAAACTTAACAACCAAAATCATCTTTCATATAATAATATTCATTAAGCTTATAAAGATTTGACCAATTGAGCAAGTTGCAAAATAATTAATGAGTATTATTATTGTTTATGGGCAGCGTTTCTCTTTTTGATGACATAGAAAGAATAAATGATTAAGAATTCAAAGTAAATGGATTACTTGAAATTGAATTAATTATAATTAAACAATTCGAACCCAAATTTTTTTTTTGAAAGGGTGTTTTTGTATGATTAAATGACGAAGCATACAAAACGTGACATCGATAAGGATCTTGTTAAAAAACCCCCTAAGCCTAATTGAAAGAAAAGGAGTACGCCAAATCGATATCGAAACTATGAACAAAATACTCACACCATGAACAAAATACTCAAAACCAAATATCTGCATGGACATTGATCAATAAACCCCTAAAACAATATAATAATATATTAATTTTCATGAAGATGACGTTTTACTGATAAATAATTTTTAAAAATAATATTCATAAACTAAAGAAAATGTTTAAAAATCAATTAGTTAAACTTTTTGGGTAAATTACAAATTTCGTAACTGAACTTTATTGTCTCTCCTATTTCACTCACTGTACTTTAAATCTTTTCAATTTCCTCACTAAACTTAACACATTGAGTTTTTTCTGGTCACTCAGCCGTTAAATAGTTAACGGCGTTAAATGGGTTGTTATATAGATGGAAAATGACGTTGTTTAAGTGAAAATTTTGTTTTTAAAACGGCATCGTTTTTAACCATTGTTAGGAGCTATGCACTTCTTCTCTTGATTGTGGGTTTAACCTACACAATAAAGTTGTTGAGCTACCTCCTAAAATCAAGCACCCCATCCGTAAGAACCATCCTCTGATTTTACGGTTTCGTGTTGAAAATCTCTCTTGCAATGCATGTAATCAAAGGCTACCTGCACATGGACTTAGGTATTCTTGTTCACCTTGTAAATTTGCAATTCATATAACATGTCCAGAGTTACCTCCTACACTCGATCTCCCCTGCCACCGTAAGCATCCTCTCGTCCTAGAATTCCAAAACAGTCCATCTTGCAAGACATCTAAAGAAACCCGATACAATAATTTCGTTTATCTCTGTTCATCTTGCAACTTCAACCTTCATTACGAGTGTGCATCAGCACCACCTACCATTAAAGGAAAAACCCATGAACACCCTTTCACTTTGTTGTGGAGGCAAGTCTCATTCATTTGTGATGCATGTGGTGTTGAGGGATGTTTTGTTTCCTATATATGTTCTACATGCAGCCTTGTAGTCCATAAAAAATGCATTTCTCTGCCACCCATAATCGCAATCCCCCGACATGATCACACCCGATTTTCCGCAAATATTTCCTCCGACCTCATGAGTTCACGGATGGTGATTGTAAAATTTGTTATAAGGAAGTCAAAGTGGAGTATGGGAGTTACTCTTGCTCCCATTGTAAGTTTATTGTCCATGTCAACTGTGCTTTAGAGAAAAAGGGTGGTACAAGGTGATTGAGGCAAAGCTTCTTGGTGATTTGACAATAGTTCCCAGAAGGTCTACTAATCCCATCATCTGCATTGAGAAAAACAAACATGATCTGATATTGAAGGCCAATCCCATGGAGGAACATATTGATGGGGCCAATCTCATGGAGAAATACTGTGACGGGTGTGTCCTACCCATCTCAAATCCGTTTTATCATTGTTCGCAATGCGATTTCTTTCTCCACAAAACATGTGCTGAATCGCCTATGGAGAAACGGCTGTGGTTTCACATATGTCAACAGTTTCTCATCCTTGTTGTAGATCATATTTTCAGATGTGGTCTCTGAGTGCAACGGCTTCGCCTATAGGTTTGAAGAATGTGATATTCATTATTGCCTCCATTGTGCAGCGAGGAGCTACAGGATCAAACATCCTGCACATAAACACCCTCTGCACTACGATCGTAAGTACAAAGGACGGTGCGACGCATGCGGTGTCGAAGGGCGCGGTCTCTTAGTATGTAAGAGTTGCACCATCAGTCTGCATATCCAATGTTTAAGGCAACCGCTCACGGCATGGAACAGATGCTATGAACACATACTTAAACTTACTTTCAAAGAGGTCAGTACATATTCAAAGTATTTGTATTGTGATATATGTGAACGAAAGAGAAGCTCGTGGTGTCTTGACTTGGATGATTATTGTGATACATGTAAGGGGAAATTTGATGAGTATTCTTAATTGATAATATTTGCTCGTTAATTTTTTGATCTTACGAATTTATTACTGCTGATTTGGTTGTATTATGATTATTTTCGTGCAGGATCTTATTTTCCAAAATTAGTAGTAAAAAATGACGCATTTTGTATTTTTTACTTGGTCACAATTAGAGACATAGGCACGACTTTGGACATGACATAATCTGATGTGATAGTTTCTAGAAGGTCCAGTCAGCAGTAGTTTTCTAGAAGATCTAGTCAACACCTTCTGACAGGTGGACGGACAGTGATATCTTAGGAGATTTATTTTTAAATTTTAAAGTTTGAATTTGAAAAACATTTGAAATTATCTTTAGGATTAATTTTCTTTTGATTTCTATGTTTATCTCTAAGATTTTAGAAGTTATAAATACCCCTTAAAGTAAAGCTCAAACCACAATTGTTTTTAGATTTAATTTAGCAGCTTTCAGTTATTTGATAAAAGTATTTTCTTTCGATTTTTTTTATTTTATTTTTAGTTTTATTTTTAAATATGATATGTATAACTTCTGTCATACTTAACTAATTTTCTCATAAGTCGAAAGGTTAAGCGATGACTCAATTAAATATGTGAGAATTGAAAAGCATTTAACATCTTTAAGATGTCATTCTCAGTTTTCTGGAAAACTCGGATAAGTAATCCACATATTTTTTTAAAATCAAAACAATTTCATTTCAAAAAAAGTTCGTTGGTCTGGATGTTGTTCTGATTTAAAGTTGAGCGGAAAGATCGACGAATAGCAAATTCAACTTCCTATGAACACACTTAATGACAGTCTGCTAAGGGAAACTGAGATCGAATTCGATTCTCATCACCGTTAAGATTTTACCTATGGGTACTGAATAAAGCGCAACCTAAATGTTATGCATGTATTTAAATATAATAAAAATTGAATACCAAAATGAAACAAAAGTAATAGTCCAACTACTAAATGTGTAGTTTACCATTAAGAAATAGTGGCACAGTCATGAAATTACCTCAACACAGCAGGCAATTTTTCAGGCTTAGGACCATCAGGAGCCATGATACAGAAGCATGTATCTCTCCAATTCGCAAACGGAGCAGTGAACAAATCGAAGTTGCTCGTGTACCTGAATTTCGTGTCCGTATCTCTGCGTAATACGCTTTCTTCTCCTCCACATCGAGCTCGTGAAATCTTCGAACTCCATGTTTCATCTCTTCGAGAAGGCTTAAAGGTATCCCATGGTTTACGACCTGGAAAAAATCCCATGTTTCCGATGCATGCCTGACGTGCTCGACGGTCTCGTTGTGCCGCAACGGGTCATCTGTGATGCCTTTTAGATCAATGACCGGGATTCTGAACTGGGTTTTCTCGGTAATCGTCGGACTGCTTGTTGAGTTAGGCGGCACGATGAACATACGAGGGACCTTGGTGATTCCGGCATCGACCAGACCTTTGACGCCGGCTTTTGAATCGGCGAATGCTTTCAGTTCCTTTTGCCGGTTGTAGTTGGAATCTTCATTGATTTTAGGTTTGTCGGTTACCACCATTTTTTCCTTCTCGGTTTTGATGTAAATAAGCGGTGGAGATTCTATGAGAGCATCGAATGAAGCTGTAGAGGAATTTGTTTATCAGTCGAGTGGCTAGAAATCAACCACGTTGGGGATGAAGGCAGCAGTAATGGCTGCATGATCACATGCTTCACTAACCACCAGAAATAAATATGAAAAAAATATTTTTATTTAATAAGTTAACGATCAGAGTTCATTTATAAGCTGATTTTTAAGCTTGTTTATATAACTTTTATTTTTTATTTTTAATATTTAAATATTAATGAAGATAGGGATCAAATTAATAATATTAGTATTTATATGTCGGTGTTTTAAGTTTTTTTTTATTGAAATGCACTAAAAATATATAAAAATAGAAACTATAGCAAGTGAAGAAGAGTCTTGAAAAACATGGGAACTATCCTCACTTTGTAAAGGGCAACCCATTCATCATCATGAAGTACTTGCAGAGGATTTTTTGAATATGTACCAGTTTTAAGAATTATTAGGGGCATATATGGTATGTACAATATATAATTAGTTAATTTTTAAAAAATTATTTAATAAATGTTATTAACCATTTACACTTTTAAAATTGGTATTTTATATTAATTAATAATAATATTAATACAAATAGATTATAGGTAGTTTTTTAGGTATATTGTGCTGCAAACAGTAGGCACCACCTCAAAATCCAACCATGAATAATCATGTCGATATTTTTCAGCAGTCAATATCTTTATCATAAACATGAAAACATGCATACATACATACATACATATATATAATTTATTCTTTATTTCTGACTCTAGCCATATATGAAAAGACCAAATGCTTTATTGTTATTGTCTTAGAGGGAGCTAGTTGAAATGCAGCAGTGCAGAGTTTCCATCAAGGCCTTTTATTTGGAAGTGAATCATATGTTGTCACAGTAGTTTCCCTGTACTTGGGAGGATTATCTTCCGACAACAACTCCTTAATCGGTCCGTACAATCTCGGGTTCGGATGAAAACCCGTGGTGAAAAAGCTCGCCACCGACACTCTAGGTCCGACGGAGTTCGCCAGCCCCCGATGCTCCACGCTTACGAGACTGTCGTTCGATATAAGCTGCATCAACAAAACAAAAAAAAAAAAAAATCGATCAGTCACACTATGTGACTCACATAGTTCTGAATCTAATTGATTAAGGTAATTCTCATAGGACTTTGCCTGTAAAAGATCTCCAATGTTAACGACCAAAGCCCCAGGGACTGGAGGTACATCAATCTATTGATTTTCATGAAGAATTTGGAGACCACCGATATGGTCTTGCGGAAGCACCGTGATGAAGGTACTATCAGCGTGCTTTCTTGTCCCGATTGTCGACTCCGGCTGCGGACATGCCGGATAGTAATGGCACAGCTGACCTAGACCCTTTGCGCAGTCTATCTTCAGCAGATGATCTGGATTCAATCCCAGAGCTTCTGATATCAACTCGAAGAGCAAATGACCCAAACTCATCACTCCATCTGTGTACTCGAACATAATATCCCTATGCCAAAATTCATACATTTGAGTAACACTTCATCATTATATGTATATATATATATGTATAAGTATGTGTATATACCTGAATTGTTCGGGCAACTCTTCCGGCCTAGGAGGATCAGGAGCCATGTTGCAATAAACAGAGTCCCTCCAGTTAACTGCAGGGGCAGTAAGGAGATCGAAATTGGAATTATGGACAACTTACTTCGAATTATCACGAGTGTAGAACTGTTTTTTGAGCTCATCGTCTTGCTCGAAAAACCTACGTACGCGAACTTTCATCTGCTCGAGAACACTTACAGGAATTCCATGGTTAATGATCTGAAAGAAACCCCACTCCTTCGATGCATTACGGACGTGTTCGACGATAGATTTCCGAGCATTAAGACCCCCTGCACTCCTTGAAGATCTATAACAGGGATACTGAACTGGGAGGCGCCTGGAACATAGGTTCCCCCGAAGGTATCAGGTGGCTGATGGAACATTCGGGGAACCTCCGAAACTCCGGCATCTACAAGGCCTTTGACACCAGCTTTCGTCTCGTCTAAAGCTTTGATTTCACTCGCCCGATCAACACAACATGTATATAAACAAACAAGGGAATTAAAATAAATATAGTGGGGAAGTAAATTGAAATTGAAATTCTAATCACAAATATGTATATAAACACTAAATTCAACTATCAACACTACATGCATGGATGCATGCATTACATGCATACATACATATAATGGGAATGGAGTAAATTTTATTATTCCAACCTTTTTCCTGTACTCTGGATAAATTTTATTATTTTTTATTATACAAAAATTTTGATGATGCGAATTTGATTCTAAACTTGCAAACTTAAAATAATGTAAAGATTAGAGGGGGGAGAATGACATATCTTGGAGTAATTCAAGAGGTCATAAGCATTACATATGATCTGATATTGAAGGCCAATCCCATGGAGGAACATATTGATGGGCCAATCTCATGGAGAAATACTGTGACGGGTGTGTCCTACCCGTCTCGAATCCGTTTTATCATTGTTCGCAATGCGATTTCTTTCTCCACAAAACATGTGCTGAATCGCCTATGGAGAAACAGCTGTGGTTTCACATATGTCAACAGTTTCTCATCCTTGTTGTAGATCATATTTTCATATGTGGTCTCTGTAAAAGCGATTGTGCTGAATCGCCTATGGAGAAACAGCTGTGGTTTCACATATGTCAACAGTTTCTCATCCTTGTTGTAGATCATATTTTCATATGTGGTCTCTGTAAAAGCGAGTGCAACGGCTTCGCCTATAGGTGCGTGGAGTGTGATATTCATTATTGCCTCCTTTGTGCAAAGAGAAGCTACACGATCAAACACCCTGCACATAAGCATCCTCTGTACTACGATCGTAATTACGAAGGACAGTGCGACGCATGCGGTGTCAAAAGGCGCGGTCTCTTCGTATGTAAGAGTTGCACCATCAGTCTGCATATCCAATGTTTAAGGCAACCGCTCTCGGCTTGGCACAGATGCGATGAACACATACTTGAACTTGCTTATGAAGAGGTCAATACATATTCACAGTATCTGTATTGTGATATATGTGAACGAAAGAGAAGCTCTAGTTGTTGGTTCTATCGCTGTTCGACTTGTGATGTTTCTGCTCATCCTGATTGTGTTATCGGACGGTATCCGTTTATCAAACCAGGAAGCATTTACAGGGGATTAGAGGATCACCCTCATCCTCTAACTTTTGTCAAGAAGACATTTTCTTGTCCTAATTGCCACAAATGTGGAATGTCTTGTCGAGATTTGTCTCTTGAATGTGCAGATTCTTCCTGTGATTATGTTGTCCATTGGGATTGTGCGAAGCCTGATTATCTTACGAGCAGAAAATTTGAACCTGATACGACTGAAATAGACGAAATTGTCCATAAGCCTGTTTATACTAAGAGCAGAAAAGTTGCACTTGATAAGACTGAAATAGACGAAATCGTCAGGGCAGGTGGTTCGGTTTGCGTAGTTATGGTACGTTTTTGCGTATTTCTAAATGAATACTTTTCGCTTTTCCTGTTAATATGAACCCTTTATTAAGGTCAATGACACTTTTTAATATATCATATGATTTCTGGTAATATTGGGCAGTGAAATCATCAGTGGAGGAGGAAGAAGAAGAAGAAGAAAAAGATGATGATGATAATGATCACATACATTAATAATGGGTTCATTTCTAGACTCCCGCAAGAAGAAGAAGAAGATAATAATGATGATTCATCATACATTAACGATGTGTTCATTTCTAGATTCATGCAATTTAATAATAATATAACAATTATTTAACTTGGCTGTTAATAATGCATTAGTTATCATTATAAAGGTAATGGTTCTTAAATATGTTTATATTTATTTCTAAAGAAACTTAGCTACCTAAGATTTGTCCTATTTTTCTTTCTTTTTTTCTCAGCTACCGTTTGTCTCTTTTTTTTTTATCTTTGTGATCGATGATGCTATCAGTGTTGATGTTGATCGCCTACCGTCGATATTTATTATTTTATTTGTTTTATTATAACGTTTTTACTTGTTTTTTTTAATAATTTTGCATGATACATCTTCTTATGCCTTTATGGAATTTTTTATGTCCTTATGATATATTTTCGGTTGTTTGACCATTATTTTAGTTTATCCTTTTTTTTAGAGTTTGATTTGACAGTCACCATTAATAAAAATATTGTTTTATTTGTTATCATGTTGATCTTTCCTACTTTGGACCCTCGATTATATTCGAATATGTAATTTGTATTCGTAGATATTATTTTCACGTCGCTTAATTATGGATTTGGTTTATGATTGTGGTTGTAAACTTTGTTTGTAATTTAGATATTTTCTATTTTTAATAAAATTAAGGACTTTTATAAAAAAAATATTTATTTCTAAACTTGTATTTAAAAAAAATATATATTTTTCTATTTCCTTTATTCAACGGGGTGGAAAAAGTGTTGTTTTAGAAATTAATAAAAAATAAATATTAATTTAAAAATTAATATGTTTAAATGATGGGATGACTCGAAAAACCGGAAAGTAAAGAAGAAAAATTGGAAAATTAAAAGTATTATAGTGACAAAGAAAGATTTTGTTTCTATTGTTGGAATTTTTGGACCAAATTAACAAAGTTTGTAAATTTAGAGGTCAAACTTATTGAAATTGTAAATATAAAAGACTAATTGTGTTGTTGTACATATTTTAAAACCGTCATGTCAATTCCATAATTTGATTGATATCAAAATGAAACAATAATGACTTAATTAACAAAAGCTTTTACTTAGTGCTCATAATAAAATTTATCATAAAATTCGGTGACTAAATGTCTAGTTTGTCCTGCAAATTATAATTTTTTTTGGTAAACACAAATTATAATATTTTATGTATGGGTAAATTACATCATTCCTCATTGAACTTTACTCTCTCTCCTCTATTTTGCTCAACGTACTTTCAATTTTTTTATTTTGATCACTGAACTTTATAGATTGAATCATTT